ATGCTTTTGTGTTAGTTATATTTTATTACATTTTGTATCATGATTTTAATGTAAATTTTCTCTCTTTTCAGGTGAGAATGTGAAGATTTTTTTTTTTTTTTTATTCTTTTCATTTAGTTTTTTTTTGTTGTTGTTGTACTTCCCCAAGTATTCCTTTATATAAAACAACTAAATATGGAAAAAGTAGATACTGCCGGAGGAGGAAACATGCCTCCTCTGATAATAAATTCAGGGATGCAGAATTCTGGGGTTTCATCAATCAGGCCCATAGTCATTAAAAAGGAAAATGCAGTCCCCAATTCCTCAAAAGTGGATGTGCAGCCTCTTGTAGTATGTGTGCCTCCTGGGGGAAATAGCCTTGCCCCAAACATGCGGCTGGTGCAGACTGCTGATGGCAAGAAGTTGCTGCTAACGAATGTTGTTAAAACATCTAAACCTTCACCTACTTCTAGTAATCAGGCAATGATGGTACCCCAAAACTTGGTAATGCTCTCATGCCCCCCAGTACAGTCACAAATAAAGCCTGTAGTTTCTACAAATAACCCCCAGACTTTCATAGTACAGCCCAACAAAACTACTACTGGGTCAGCAGCACAAAAGAAACCCATTGCAAGTACCCAACAAATGATATTAAAGGTATCTGGCATGACCCCACCGTTGATAGTAAAACCAAACTCCCAGGTAAATTCTCTAACAATACCAAGTGTACCAGCAGCACAGGTTGTAAATATCAAACAAGAGCCAGTGATGCCTCAGGTTGTTACAATGGTCGATAAGACAAGTACATCACTTGCAAAGAATCTGTTGTCTTCACCCATAGCACCCGCTCCCAGCCTGGCCAATCCAGTAGTAATATTAAGTAATGAGGGTAAGAAGTACAAAGTTGTTGGCAATCCTGTTCCAGTTAGATTACACCCAAAACTGCAAAAAATAGCACCAAAAGGACAGACTGCCATTCCACCTTTGAGAAAAGTACAGCAACAGATATGTCAACCACAGCAGCAGCAAGTTGTCCAACCTCCATCCCCTGCCAAGAAGGTACTCTCGTCAAAACCACCTGCCTACTTGAACATCCGTGTCAAAGAAGAACCTAATGATGAGCCAATTGGGGAGTTGGTGTATGTAGATGCTGGAGTAAAGATCAAGGATGAGCCTATAGACCCCCAGACAGAGCTAGAAGAGGCTTTGGAGATGGCATCACAGAAGCCATTTGTTGATGTCAGAATTAAAGAAGAACCAAGTGAGGAAAGTACGTAAACAGTTGATTATAAGTTGCATGATCAAAAGTTCATATTTATTAAGTCTTGATATAAAAAAGAGAATCTTTTTTTTTAAGGAAGAATATTCCTGGTTTTATATAACATGAAAGTAATATAGCTTATCACATCTTGCAAGTGAAAGTGTAATAACCCTATTGATAGCACATTACTGTTATACATGATGTGACCCTGTTATTCATGAAAAGAAAGTTTTCCTATCTGACTAAACTTATTATTGATTTGTATGGTGCAGGCATAAATTATTAGAGGATCTTTTCTAAATTTTCCATTATATGTTGCAGATGAGCTGCTAGAAAAAGATGAACAACTAAGGAAAGTTCTAGAAGCCACGTCAACCACAAGCACAAACGATACACCAAACAAGCCACGTAGGTTTTACATTCGAACATCAGAAGGTAAATTAATCTCCATCTCTCCAGAAGAAGCGGAAGCCCTTGGATTAAATCATGATGATAAAGCCGAGGAGAATCAGAAGAAGCTTGTCAAGGCCCTGGCTGGTGTTGGGGACTTCCCATTGAAGAAAGTTCTTGTTGACCAGAAGCGTCTTGAGAAGACCCAGTGCACAGTCTTGATCCCAGACAATGTAGATGTAAAGGATTTTGTGAGCCGAAATGTTCCTCCTGCTGCAGAAAAAGAAGCAACTCTTATGAAAACCCTGAAGTGCTCCTCCGAAGCTCTTGAGGCTCAGTTCTCAACCTCTAAAATCTTTGTTCCCACGAAGACTAACACTACCATTATTGGTGAGTATATAGATAAGGATGTGCATTTCCTTAAAATTCATATTGAAACAGAGAGTGGAGAAAGAGATGTGTGTAACATTCTTAAAACAGCTTTAAATACTTATCAGTGCCCATTCTGTAAGAAAGATTTTAAAACAAAAGACCATATAATTTCACATATCAGAGTACATACAGGAGAAAGGCCTTACCCATGTGATATCTGTGGCAAAAGATATCGCCAGAGAATTGACATTATTCGGCACATGCGCATTCACACAGGGGAGAAACCATTTACTTGTGGGCTATGTAATCTATCTTTCAATCAAAAGTCTAACTTGAGATCTCATATGAGAATCCACACTGGTGAACGTCCAGTACAGTGTAAGATTTGTGGGAAAGGATTTTCTCGGAACACACATCTAAAACAGCACATGAAATTGCATACAGGTGAAAAACCTTTTTCCTGTCAAATATGTTACCGCCCATTCCGCTTCAAATCTGGTCTCCAGGCACATGAGCGAATACATTCAGGACTCAAACCCTATGCCTGTGGTGTCTGTGGGAGGAGCTTCACCCAGGTTGTTGGTTTAATACGCCATGAGAGAACCCATGCTGGAGAAAAGCCTTTCCGTTGCCAGAGTTGTGGCAAGTCCTTCAATAATCGTGAAAGTTTACAGTTTCATGTTAAGAAGCACACAAGTGAACGTCCATATTCTTGTGACTTGTGCAAGAAAACCTTCACAGACACATCAGCTCTTCGTTGCCATAGAAAAAAATACCATAGCAACATGCTGATATGTGTGATTTGTTTCCGTGAGGACTTTAAAACGCGTATTGAACTAAGAGAACATCTGCGTGCCCATGAGAGAGAAAACTGGGAAGAGAATGAAAGTGGGGATCTCGTACCTCGTATTCAAGAAGGATCTCCAACTTTTGTGAGTATAGACGATACCATGGAGAACCTGGAAGAGGGTGAAGAAGAAAACAGGGAAGGAGTAGATTTTGACTGTGAAAGAGCAGAGGAAATCCAAGTGGAAGTGGAACTAGATGTGGATGACCCAATTGAGAATGATGATGAGTACGCCAATGACAGTGACTATGAGGACCAAGATTTCCAAGGTGACCCCCTTGTTGATCCTTTGATGTGATTCTCAGATTTTTGAAAATTGAGAAATGTGGCTGTAGAATCTCTTAGGGATGGGGGTGTGCTCTTCATTGTATTTTGTTATGTTTTTTGTTTTCTTTTCATTACATTTAAAATATTTTGCAAAGTATCATGGTAATCATTCCTAGGTGGATGTATTTTATCTGATTAATGTTACATTATTTTTTTCTTTTATTGATATATTTACAATCATGTTTGTGCTTGTTTGTTTGTTTTTTTGTTTTTTTGTTTTTTTTTACTAAATAAGGACTTTTGTACATAGTAAACCATTCAAGTGCTTGTTTAGTTTACATTAGAATTATATGATAGTTACCCTTTTTTATGCAATTGAACAAATGGCTGTTTTTATACAAAATTATGGAAGTTCACAGAGAAAGGAAGCTGGGGTGGATTTCATTAATTTGATGATTATAGTTCTGTGATTTTTTTTTTTTTTTTTTTTTTTTTTTTTTTTTTTTTTTTTTTTTTTTTGTGATTAATTGCAACAAGTAGTTGGACTTTTCAATGTAAAAGTGACCTATTTTGAAATTATATATAGAAACTGGTGTAAGTCTTTGGTGCTTTTCAAGATGTACTCTCAGATTATTACGGGAAATGTTACCGTTCCAGGAAAAGGATATTGGTCATTTGACTTATACCATACTTCAGATTATATTCTCATCTCACACTAGTTTACCTACAGAGTGTATATATTATTACCTTTTTAAAAATGTTTATTTCGGAAACTTTTAACAAAGATAAGCAAATGCAAATTTCTACCTGTCTATCAGGAGTTTGTTTTAAAATTATTGGATAATGTTTGAAAAGTTAAAGGAACAATTTTTTGTCATTAGATTTTTATTCTATCAGATGCTTAGTTTGTTTATAATGAGAGGGGGATATCCTCCAGAGTTTGTTTAAGAAATGTTAGATTTAATTTGTAACATATGGTTGGTGTCTGTAGTCTTAAGTTATGTAGTCATATTTTAATACCCTATGTTAGTACTACAGATAAGGGATATCCTTCCTTGAAACAAAGGTAAAATCGGACCCTTCTTGTTGTTAGCTCTCCTGGTCAAATATATAATGACACAACTTGATGATATATTAAAATGACATTGTAATAGCCCTAATTTAGCCATAATCTCAGTCAACATAATGCATGCATGTAGAAAACCACAAATATGTCTGTTAACATGATCCCACTTGTTTTGGTATCTTGGAAGTCAGTCACTTCAGTGCCACCAAGCATATGTCTGGTGTTAGAACTTTTTAGCAAGACAATCTGTAGTCATCTTTTTCTAAATGCATCTGATCATTTATATTGCCAGTAGAGTTGATCAAAGTGGAATTTACTCAGGCTTATGAATTCATTTATTTATTTATTTGTATACATTTTCCTTGAACTTTTTTGTTTTTGTTTGTTTATTTGGTATGTTGCTCATGGTTCTGCATTTTTCTCTTTTTTAATTCTGAATACTGAATTTTAGATATTTGTGGTAGAGCTGCCTACTTCACTTAATTCATCAGTATTCCAACCATGCTTGCATTATGAAACTGAGTTTGTAGGAATAATAGCTCTGTGTAATGAGTGTATGATGAATGGAGAGATGATGAATATGGATTTTTCTCTGAATTATTGAAGGTCTTCCAGAAGTCAAAGGATAAAAAAAAGATAGATTGTTACATTACCATTTTCTAAATGTCTATGATAAATATGTAATATTTAATATTACATAAAGTATATTTTTCAAAGATGTTTTATTAATGAATTTTGTACATGTTCACAACACTCAAGAGTTTACACTCACAATGTGTGTAATGTTCTATAGGTGCCTTATATGTATCCAAGTGTCCTTTTGTTTGTTTGTTTGGTATGTTGCTCATGGTTCTGCATTTTTCTCTTTTTTAATTCTGAATACTGAATTTTAGATATTTGTGGTAAAGCTGCCTACTTCACTTAATTCATCAGTATTCCAACCATGCTTGCATTATGAAACTGAGTTTGTAGGAATAATAGCTCTGTGTAATGAGTGTATGATGAATGGAGAGATGATGAATATGGATTTTTCTCTGAATTATTGAAGGTCTTCCAGAAGTCAAAGGATAAAAAAAAGATAGATTGTTACATTACCATTTTCTAAATGTCTATGATAAATATGTAATATTTAATATTACATAAAGTATATTTTTCAAAGATGTTTTATTAATGAATTTTGTACATGTTCACAACACTCAAGAGTTTACACTCACAATGTGTGTAATGTTCTATAGGTGCCTTATATGTATCCAAGTGTCCTTCCATAGTGCCTTGCATTTTAGACCTTTGAAGTAAATCATTGATGATATAGAAAGCTTTTATTAACCTGCATATTTACAATTACCCATTTTATGTGTACACACATTCTTACACAATGATCTCAGTAATCAAATTTTGTAAAATCATATTCCACACTTGTTTTTAGATTGAAATTTGACCATTATTTTAAAATGGAAAGAAAGTTTAAAAGTGAAAAACTTACAAGATGTTTCTGCTTGTACACTTTATCCAATTTGATCTAATCAATATTAACATGGCCATTCTTTTCACTAGGTCTCTTCACAAAGGAGTCCGAATGTGAAGGGTTACCAACTCATTCCATTTTGTAGTTGTATCACAATAAGAACACAATTGAATTAGTTTTATTTTTATTTTTTATTTATTTATTTTTTTTTCAATCCATCTGGAACAGAAGATCCATCATATACTCATCAGAGATGGTCTTTTTGTCTATTACTCCCATTGCTGTTGCTAAGAGTGCTGCAAGAACATGTTTACACATAACACTTTCTTTCTTCTTTAGCACAGAAAACTTGAATGCTGGACACTGACAGAAAATAGAGTCAGGCAAACATACATAAGGAGTGCCAGCACTTCCAGTGACCTGGTACACCCATCGGCCACTGCTGGAAGTGACTATCGTAACCTAAAAGAAAAGGAAGCAAATTATCACTAAATTACAAGAAAAAACATTTTGTTTCTCTATATTGTTCACTATAAAATCTTGTGCAACATATGTGAATTGTTCACATTAAAAAATGGCATGTTTATTTAAACTGGGCTGTATGTGAGTAACTTCCATACCACACCCCATTCTGCTAACTTGTAAAATAAACAGATAACTAATATTAGAGAACAACACTACCAATGAAGATGATAAAATTAAAAGATATGAGAATAATATTCAATTTCTGCATTGCCAAGAATAAAGAAAATCAACTTAATTCACCTTTTTACAGTCAATCAAGTCTAGTGCACTGACAAGTGTCTGCCCATGAAGCATATGCAAAGAACGAAGTAACTCTGATGACAGTTGGCCGGCAGATTCATATTCTGACTTTACAACACCAAGCAAGCCATGCATTATAGCCAAAGTGTCAGGAGTCTTAGGCATTCTGTCTGAAATAAATAGAAAATAAAAATATCATTTCACTCCTTTTCAAAATTCATCTTGTTGGCTATATGCATACACATACTTGAAAGACAGAATTATAACAAAATCTTATAGATAAATAACAAGTAACTAACGAGAGAGAGAGAGAGAGAGAGAGAGAGAGAGAGAGAGAGAGAGAGAGAGAGAGAGAGAGAGAGAGAGAGAGAGAGAGAGAGAGAGAGAGAGAGAGAGAGATTTTTGTGTGTGTGTGTGTGTGTGTGTGTGTGTGTGTGTGTGTGTGTGTGTGTGTGTGTGTGTGTGTGTGTGTGTGTGTGTGTGTGTGTGTGTGTGTGTGTGTGTGATACGCAATATGATTAACATTATAATTAATGCACTGTTATTGACACTATTAATATCAATATAAAATGCAAAAGAATATTCCCAAAAATCATGGAAAAAGGTAAACTGGTGAGATATGAAGCATTTCAAATCGAGTGGTAATGGGTAACATTATGTTGTCATAGTAACAGGAATCTGCTTTTATATAAGAAATGTGTTGTATCCAAAACAAGTGGCCAGATTATCCTTTACTAATCTGCTTTCTTTTTTATAATGAACTGAAATCAATTAGTAGAGGTAAAAAACAATGAGCTGGCCTTTTCTTATTTCAGTGGAATATTAACAGGAATTCAAGCAAGTATCATAAACAAAGCCTACAAAGTGGCCCGGACCAGGCCTCGTTAGTTAGTTATTCACAAATAGGACACCCTCAAATAGTTCTGATGACAATGCCTTGAATGCCACCAAGATAGGGGTATGTGTCACAAATAGAGGCCTTTGCACTTTTCCACAGTCCAGCAAAAGCCAACAAATCTCTACTCTATATATCTAGGCAAGATGAAGGCTTGACTGCTTTTATTTTACACTTCTGTTCTGGGTGAATACAGAGTTGAAACACTAGATATCTCCAGTCTTTCATTCTTTATTATGTTTACAGTTATTCCATAAGTCCATAAGTCTGCCAGTGCCTTGATCCTAGACTCTCATCTTTTTTGCAGCTTCTTGTTGGAGTGGCCCTGTTTATACAGAGGCCAATAACATATAAGGGAGAATCATCCACCAATAGTTCAACAGTCACAGAAACATTTTTCTTTTTATCATCTTTAACTGATATTCCTATATTTTAAGGTCATAAATATTACATGTAAACAATCATATGTGCTGACTTCAGGTTTCTTTATCACTAAAATGGTAAATTAAGATGACATATGTTAAGTACCATATATTACTCTGATGCTACATGCTAGATACTGATGCTACATTACTACATGCATTACTCTTCTCAAACTTTTTTCCTTTATTTTTTGAGGAAACTGGCAAGTCATGATGAAGACTAATTTCTTGCACATTAAATCTGCAATTATCTGATGGAGCAAAATTTGGCTTCTCCACTGGAATGAACACTGGTGGGTTTGCACTGGATTATTCATCTGGCTCTCCAAGCTTTGGCAATCTTGATCAGTGCATTTATTGTACTTTTAAGCCTCAATATCAAAGGTCTTCATAGCTGCATGCTACCTTACGTAACAAGTTTACATTTTTTTGTCTAATTTTCAAATAAAGTGGCAACTCTTTATATATTATTAAGAAGGGACCCAACTCTTAAAAGTCTAACACTAATAACTAAAAATTGAATAATATCAAATCCAATTGTATTTGGATGTTTCTGATCAAAACTATATCAGATTTAATAAAAAATCAAACAATAAAATTTAGATTCAAGATCATCAAGGATAGGAATTTTCTTTGACTTGGCTAAGAGGTTTATCTACATTTGTCCCTTTGGAGAAAAAAATCCTTCCTCCTCTCTCCTTAGGTTCTCCTCCCATAGGCCTTCTACTCATTTCTTCTCTTTCCTTTTTCAGCCTTCTGTTTTCCCTTTCTGCTTTCCTTTTTCTGTTTCCTGTTTTCTAATGATTCTCCATTTTTTGCTCCCTCCCCCTCCTGGGCATGGAACTCTCTACTCCAGTGGTTCTTAACCTTTAACTAACTAACCCCTTTAGGAATTTGTCCTTCCTTGCATCTGTGAATAAAATTCCCTCCCAGATTTTAAAGAAAATTATAAGTATGTTTTGTTATTCTTTTTAATGAGTATGAATTAGTGGCATTTTAATTAAACTTTCCATTATGTGACCTCGTTAAAAGAATAACAAAGCCTTTTTTCCAAGGGCTCGTGCCCCCTTTGTTAAATACTGAAGCCCCCCTACGGGTGGCGTGCCCCCCAGGTTAAGAACCACTGCTCTACTCCTCCTAAACACCTTTGGCTTCCACTCATATCATTTCGTGATGTAACCACTTATTTTTAAGCGTCAACAACTTTTCCTCGCTTTACAATTTCTAATAAAAGGAAAACAAACATGGTCATTGATGTTTAACATTGCCTCCTTTTATCAGCTTCCCCTGAGGTATTTTATGCTACAGTATCAAGACCTAACAAGCACTAAAGGCAACTTACATCCATTTTTAATATATATATACACGAGATAGAGGCTAATTTCTGTTTAGAGTCAGTCCGCCATTGCTGTGACGTGACTTTGCTTCATTGAAGTTCTTTGACTCCCAATGCCCACAGCATCTATCCCCGGTGCCAATATTCCTTGGTACATAGCCCTTGTCTGTGTCATTGTACTGGTAACTATATTCCCGGATGCTTATGTTCCATAGGTATGCAAATAGCATCTGCATTAATTCATATACGTGGTGTATGAACTTAGTATTCTGTACTCTCTCTCTCTCTCTCTCTCTCTCTCTCTCTCTCTCTCTCTCTCTCTCTCTCTCTCTCTCTCTCTCTCTCTCTCTCTCTCTCTCTCTCTCTCTCTCTCTCTCTCTCTCTCTCTCTCTCTTTGTGTGTGTGTGTGTGTGTGCGCGCGTGTGTGTGCGTGTGCGTGTGCGTGTGTGTGTGCGTGTGCGTGTGCGTGTGCGTGTGTGTGTGTGTGTGTGTGCGTGTGCGTGTATGGTGTGTGTGTGCGTGTATGGTGTGTGTGTGCGTGTATGGTGTGTGTGTGCGTGTATGGTGTGTGGTGTGCGTGTATGGTGTGTGTGTGCGTGTATGGTGTGTGTATGGTGTGTGTGTGTGTGCGTGTATGGTGTGTGGGTGCGTGTATGGTGTGTGTGTATGGTGTGTGTGTGTGTGTGCATGGTGTGTGTGTGTGTGTGCATGGTGTGTGTGTGTGTGTGTGTGCATGGTGTGTGTGTGTGTGTGTGTGCATGGTGTGTGTGTGTGTGTGTGTGTGTGTGTGCATGGTGTGTGTGTGTGTGTGTGTGTGCATGGTGTGTGTGTGTGTGCATGGTGTGTGTGTGTGTGTGTGTATGGTGTGTGTGTGTGTGCATGGTGTGTGTGTGTGTGTGCATGGTGTGTGTGTGTGTGTGCATGGTGTGTGTGTGTGTGTGCATGGTGTGTGTGTATGTGTGTGTGTGTGTGTATGTGTGTGTGTGTGTGTATGTGTGTGTGTGTGTGTGTGTGTGTGTGTGTGTGTGTGTGTGTGTGTGTGTGTGTGTGCATGGTGTGTGTGTGTGTGTGTGTGTGCATGGTGTGTGTGTGTGTGTGTGTGTGTGTGTGTGTGTGTGTGTGTGTGTGTGTGTGTGTGTGTGTGTGTGTGTTGTGTGCATGGTGTGTGTGTGTGTGTGTGTGTGTGTGTGTGTGTGTGTGTGTGTGTGTGTGTGTGTGTGTGTGTGTGTGCATGGTGTGTGTGTGTGCATGGTGTGTGTGTGTGCATGGTGTGTGTGTGTGTGCATGGTGTGTGTGTGCATGGTGTGTGTGTGTGTGTGTGTGTGTGTGTGTGTGTGTGTGTGTGTGTGTGTGTGTGTGTGTGTGTGTGTGTGTGTGTGTGTGTGTGTGTGTGCGTGCGTGCGTGTGCTGTAAGCCCGTGAGTAACATATAGTAGGTACAATCAAGGTCTATCGTACATATACCTTGGGTATAATAACCGACAAACAGCCCGATCAGCCGCCAAGCGTCGCAGAAGGGCCACTGGCATACGATAACAAAGTTCCTGAATTTCTCTCTATTGTAACTTAACCAAATGTTGACGTTAGTATCCCAGTAATATATTAGATTTAATGTGTTTGATGTAACTATTATCACAATCACAATAATGATAAAAAATAAACCACAAGAAAATGATACAGTATACACAGGCCCATCTATGCCAACACAATGAAAACTAACTTTACGGTCTATTAACGAAAAATAAAAAGGGATGTATAGTGAATATATCGTACTTTTTCCTCTGAATCCTGTCATTTTGTATATAACTGTGATCAGTTCATTACGAAATATTTGGGTGCTTGACATAATCATAGCAGGACATCCCTGCCTGCCCTTGACTACAGCACGACAAGAACCTATGACAGTATGACACTAAATAACCTAAATAGCAGATATTTTCATCCCTTTTCTCGAATTCCGTAATCGTGATAAAATAGTTGACGCTGTAGTGATGTAACAATACTCTCTTTATCGTGGAAATACAGTTGAAGAAGAATACTGATAATCTTTTATGCTGATAATTCTTTTATTATTCACCCGGCACAAGTGCATTACTTTTGCCGACGATTGTACCATACTTTCAAATGGCAGACGGAACAGCACGCAAACCCTGTGCAATAGGGTGAACACCAGCCTCTAACAATTCAGTAGCAATGTTGCAAACACCCGCTCAGCTTGGAGATCGCCATCGTAAGTTCAGTTAGAGAAGGTGGTTCCTCGCTGATGGGTAGGTCCGGCACAGGAATTGCAAAACCACTCCTGTCCAGGCTGTTTGGTGCGTTAACCTGTTAACCTGTCCAAAGTACTTAATCATGTTCCCGCACCAGTACACGAACTGAGACTGACCCGGCCATCTACTGAGCGCATTGCAGTCATCTGTGAGGAGGGCTTGGAGTTGATGAGATGAAGATCATTTAATATAAGAAATTACCTTCGACTTTCTCTTCAAGATTCTTGATACACTGTTCCATGTCCCTTCTCAACTGTGACCACCAGGGAATGATGCAAGTCCCGATCCCTATTCAGGGGACAAGCATCTGCAAGCTTCTTTCCAGTGCTTCCATCGAGATGAAATTCTGGAGCCCTGAACTGCGTCAAGTGTTTCGCCCCGGAAGATATCCCACAGCGTTACAGGGTCCGTCGGGTTGCCGAGCGCTGTAAAACGACTAGAGATATCCCCAGCAAACCCTTAGGGACACTCCCCCTCCTCAACCTGTCCACATGAAACACACTTGGGAAATCACTAGGGGTTTTGAAGTGGACTCGGAGGGTACCCACAACCAATCTATAGTCAGTATCACACAACTCGGCACTGCGGTAGACAACGCAGTTCTGGAGGATCCTCCAGCGAATGCTAACGAGGATATGGTCGATCTAATTGGCCACATTATTCGTATTGCTGTCCTATGTGCAACGGTGCAGGTTAGAGTCCCCGCACCAAGAGCCTGAAATCCTCAATTTCTGGAACTTGCAAATTCCCGGAAAAGGAGGCTATTCTCGCTGCAAGCATCAGCTCCCGAGCCATGAGGACCGATAGATATCATAGCCAGCTCGATCAAAACCGAATACTGCATTTAAGTCGCCCAGAACAAGGCGAATGTCTCGCTCAAGGTCTTACATAGACCTTGGTCTCGCCGAGGACAGATGTCTGCCACCGAATTCAATTTGACAAAAAACACCTCTTTTACATTGAAAATATTGATAGGAACATACATAGCAATAAGAGACATGAAGACAAATCCAACTTCAGTCTCAATGCCATTAAACGGTAATCGACCACAGCAACCCCTACTATCAAGTGCCGAAGTCTACTGGAAATGGCTATGGTTACCCTCTTGGGATGATGACTAGTAATAGGTTTAGCCACCCACACCGATCGTACCGCTACCAGGTCTTCTCACTTCCGAGAGAACAGCCACTTTAGTTCCCTTGACAGCAGCGGCAACCAATCATCCAGTTGCAGAGAACGGACGTTCCAATCTCCCCGCCGGATGGGGGCCCGCCTAAGTTAAATCTCGGGCGGTCACTCAGAGCAGACGCCACCTCTGCTACACCCGCAGACGTTGCACAGTAAAAAGTGGGATGGCTGCAGAGCCCGCAGTCCATCTCTGGGGTTCCCATGGGCTTTGCTCCACAAGCTGCACACCAGGTGCGTAACCCCCGCCCCCTTGCCCCCTTGTCCCAGGGGGCAAGAGTTAATACGAACCCAGGGCATGTCCACACGTCGGTGGGCCTCTTTCTGCTCCGAGTCTCCACAGTTACCTCAAGATACTAGTTGCCATGAGTGGCCACGAGGAGGCTGTGAACTGGCAGGGGAGTCATATGCAGTCATATCCCTTTTTCGCGCCAGGCTAGCCAGCAGTATTATCATAATTTCAAGAGAAACAGTACATACATCAATAGATAAATGAATTATTATGTTATTTAGTGTACAATCATAACATGTGTAAACGCTATTTTTTATGCCTACTCAATAGTTCAAGGTGTATATATATGTGTGCGCTCAAATGATGTGTACATCTCTTTTGTAGTCAAGGTCCTGTGCAATATGTGTGTGTTTGAAAATAGCATTACAATCATAAATTATAATCATATGTGAAAGTTATTTTTATGCCTACTCAATAGTTAAAAGTATTATACTAATATGCTTTAAATTTAAATTTGCGTGAAAGCAGAGCCAACTCTTGGGAAAAACAGTACCAATTACAGCCAACAATAGCTGAAACTAGCACTAAGTCAACTGAGAATTTAAAAAAAAAAAAAGTACATTAGCCTATTAATAAGAAAAAAAAAAAAAAAAAAAAAAAAAAAAAAAAAAAAAAAAAAAAAAAAAAAAATATATATATATATATATATATATATATATATATATATATATATATATATATATAAATTGTGTGTGTGTGTAGATATGTATATTATATGTATATTATATGTATATGTGTGAGTGCTATCTGTGAGTTTAAAGTATAAATCACTGCTCGGAAGTCGATCATGATGAGTGTCGGTCTCTTTTGAAGTCAACGTCCTGTGTAATATTATATATATATATATATATATATATATATATATATATATATATATATATATATATATATATTGTGTGTGTGTGTGTAGATGTGTATATTACATGTATATGCGTGTGTGTTCTGTGAATTTAAAATATAAATTATTTACTGTGTGGATCTCTTTTTGTTGCCATGGTCCTGTGCAATGTGTGTGTGCGTGCGTGTGTGTGTGTGTGTGTGTGTGTGTGTGTGTGTGTGTGTGTGTGTGTGTGTGTGTGTGTGTGTGTGTGTGTGTGTGTGTGTGTGTGTGTGTGTGTGTTTCGACAAAATAGACTATTCTTTATATGCATTCGGTTTGATTATAATGAGACATTTCACATTGTTATCTGTGACAACTTCGTACCGTATTGATAACAGCAGTAATTCTACACAGCTATCTATGACGACGTCCCCTTAACTTATCTAAATCATTGTGCATTTTCCTTGTTTCCATTGTTACATGACAACTGGTGTCCAGCGGCCGGTTGCTAGGGATATATTTTCCATCCCATAGATTAGGATATTTATTGATTAAGTTATATATTATAAAACATTTTTCGGTCTTTAAAATTGGATATTTATATTTTTCATGTGTGAATTTCGAGATGAATTTCCGTTTATACAGAGTTTATGTAAATATTGAGAGGGAGATATTTTCCAGCTTCCAGCTGTGACAACGTAAACAAGAATCAGCTGATAAATGGTTGTTCTTCGTGATTATCTGTTCTTATCTAAATTATCTCTGATATTACATAAGGAGCCGGTATCTGTGAATGTAGAACGATAGTTATGATGATCTTCAACGTCAGTGTCCGTTTGGGATATGTCTGATGCAGGCAGTTAAGGAGAAATGACGCTGAGTTGAAGAAGGATTTCCCACCTGCAACAAAGATTGAAATAGGTAAACTTTTGTAGTTTGCATGTATTATAGTTTTTTTTTTTTGTGGCACTCGTTACTTTACGAAATAGGACACAGGTTTGTTCTGTATTTCAATGTGATTAAAATGAGTCGAATGTTCTGTTCCGTCGCTTAGTAATAGCATCCGAGCTAGCCTTCCTCTTAAGACTGCAGGTATGGAACCAGCTGGAAATGTTCTTTTTTGGGGTGGAGGGCGGAGGGAGTCGCCACAGTTGGAAATTCTATGGTATAGTTTCAGTGGTGTTTGCACCCTCCAGACACAAAGCCCCAAACTAGGCTATCATGCAAACCCAAAATTCCAGCGGATATTTTCATCATATTGCAGTAAATACGAGATCGCTGCATCTGGATCTGTGTTGATTATTACTCTATATTTTATGTTATGGCAGTGTCCATTTCCCTCTATATTTGTGCAGTGCTCTCGGTAACA